GCAGCAGGGAGGAGGGGGACTGCCTGGGATTGACAGCTCAGTGTGGGGCTGCCCGCTTGGCCTTTGTCCCACTGCCAAAGGAAATGGAGGGAACCTAAAGACATCGAGGAGGAGTGAGAGGAGGAGGGCAAAGAAAGCGGTTATTTGTAACTTTGAAAATTGACTGTTAATTTTCAGAACGGTGACCAGATGTTGACACGGTAGCTTTCCACAAAAATCCAAAACGTTGTATCTACTATGTTTGATTTGTCATGTTTTTTCATGTGAGCTGCCACAGTTAGTTAAATTAGCCAGACTTTAGCCACCATTGAATGTTGTTTAGCTAAGGGCTAATGCTAATGCCCAGAAGAAAAGCCTATTGTATTAATCCTAATACAATCGTTTTATTTGTACAAACCAACAAAAGTAAAAAAAAAAAAAAGAATAATAATAATATAAAAATGTTATTCAATACCTATTATCCAGCTTTTGCAACTACTATTATGAAACGATTTGAATTGAAAATCATTTTGTCTAATTGAGGTCATAGACAATAGCATGGCTGTCTGCTGGTGTGACCGGTCAAGTTCTTCAGTCAACCAAATCACTTTCATTATTTCTTTATTTCCTGGACGCAAATAGAGTCCAGGCTGGCACCAAGGCGTGTTCTCTCCCCTCCCCTCTTATTGAGCCCCTCATCCCTGGAGAGGCCTATGGCACTGTGTAGTCAGTCTATTGTGAGCGAAAGGGATATTTGGAGTGGGGACCCTGGGGTAGATTTGGCACAAGATTAGCAGGCTCGGGAATGTGTGAATACTAATTGAACTTCCAGAGACGAGAAAGTATCTGAGAGAGAAAGCTATGGGTATAATGAACTTTTTTGGGGGTGGTGTGTAATTTAAGTTGGCACATCGATTAAAAGCTGCAATGGGCAAGCCAGGACCTGTTCCTGTTGGTGCGGCACTTTTGTTGTTTTAAATCAAGATTCTATTCTGCAAGAGAAGACTTGACAGTAACTCATGTAATAAAACCAGAATTGTGCATATGTGAACATGCATGAGTTCTAAACTACAGTGTTTGCAGGTTTTACACAAGACACCATGGAGATATTTTGTTGTTTGGAAAATACATTATACCTCCATAATTGTAGCCTTTGAGAGTTGCTTATTGCTAACATTCAAGTTGTAATTTTGGTAACTCTGGCAACTCAACGCGTTAGTCTCCCTCACGCTAACAGCCCATGTGAGAGACTAAGCGGAGAGGCTAGCTGTTTCGATCCTTTGATGACATGATTGGAGGGCATCCATAAGCTAACCGGAGTCACTTGACTGGAACAGTGCGGCCTCTGTATATCTCTGGCCCACAGCGTCTGAAGGCCTGACCTTGTAAACCTTAGTTGCTTTTTAATTGGTCTCGCTAGAACCATGGGGGGCACGCAAACATTAGCATTCCAGTGTGAATTTACAGTTTTCCCAAGGATATAAACACTCTTTTAAAAACACACTTGGCGAAAGGTACCTGCTACAGATAGCTCCACTCTCAAATGTAAACTTATACTTGTACTCGTGTGCTGGCTGTTAGACCTACAGCACAGGTTGTCTTGGCTCTCTAAAAGTTGTTCTTCAAACCCAGAGGCATTAACTGACACATTACAGATGTGACATACTCTATAACATGACTTGTAATGACACCTTGTAAAATCAAGGTGGTGTGTCCACATTTTTTCTTTTCTTATAAATGGCTGTTTCCTTTTTCGTCAGAGGTTGATTTTTAAGCCGGATGCCCTTCCTGACAAGTTGTCCATAAGGTTGTATGACTGACTACATGGGCAATACAGTATTATTAATGTAGCCAGGCCAAATAAAGTCCATGTTATCCAACTATAATGTGTATCATATTACTTTGGGATGTGAGTGGTTCATTTTTATCAAACACACAAGATTTGAAATACTTTATTGTATATTATTACATCACTTTTCTTTGAAGAATAGTGCTGTCCTGAGGTAGTTTAAGTATTTGCCCCTGGAATTCAGAGTAGTTAAAGCGTGCATAGCTGGGAGGCTTTAGTCTAGTGGTAAATTAATTCTCCTCTTACTGCCAAAGGGGGGAACTGGTGTGACATGGCCCTTTCTACTTGGTGGTGCAAATATTTTACTACTTTATTTGATGTGATGATTTGTAACAACACTAAACTGTAGGTATTACAGTAAGCATGTTAGCTTATCGTTTCCCGTCTGTCAGCAGTGATTCCTTTGCACTATTTTCTCAGAAGTGCCTTGAGAGCCCTCTGCTGACTCTGCAGGTTTGTGTATCTCTCCTCCGCTCGCAGTCCGCCTCACGAGTCCCCATTAGCAGCTTTACTCCTTCCTTAAGCAAACAGCCCTCCCAGCCGCCGTGCTTGTTAAAAGCTGGTTGTAAGCAAATGCAGCCGCCTGGTTTACACTGGAGTGCTGCCATTCTCACACTAGTATGCTGTTGTAAAGAGGAGAGACAGTGACATGTGCGCTGGTCACTAATGCTAAGAAAACAATGTGGCCGAGGTTCACAGAGACCAGCTGATGTGTTGTTTTTACCAATTTGACAGCTGAGTTATGCAATTATCCAATGACAATATTTATCCACATTTCACTTTGCTATCTAGTCATTTACTTTAGGGATGCATTAATCCAGCGTTTACAGTTCCGATACTGATACTTAGGTTTTAAGTGTAGGGACCAAGAATGACCCAAAAAAACAGTTGACAAAATGGATCAAATTATTTTACATAGCGGTATTTTTTTCCTACAAGTAAATGCTGAACAGCTTTGTATAAATTAAAATTAAAAGATTATAAGAAGTTCAAGGCCTACACCAACCAGTAAATATAAAATAAAAGGCCCAATCAGGATATCTGCTGACCTGATATCATGGGACCGATACCTGATCTCGCCATATTTTCTTCTTAATTTACTTATTCACCTTATTCCGGAAGTTGCTGTGGGCACCGCACCCATTATTTTGTATAAGGCCGATCTTTACAGCAAATAAGTTCTATATGGACTATAAAGCTGCTTTAAAGTCCCCCAGAAAATCAGAGCTGTGTGACTTTTTGGTGCACATGAAAACTAAACATTTTACAAAAATTAACTAACTTATTTAAGATGCACTTTTCCCAATTTCTTCAGTGACATGAATCGGAAGTGCCACCAGCCCACCACAAAAAAGTTTTATTTTTTCTTTTCAAAAGCATTCAAAAAACATTCCATATTGCGTTCAAAAACAGTGGTATTTTGAAAGACCCAAGCTGTTCATTGACTATTAGACATGACCGAATCATTAGCTCAATTCAAATACAATTAATTGTCCATTCTTAAGAATTGATTTACATATTTATTTCTGGTCCAATATCCTTTGTGTAGCTGATGATGTTGATCAAATCTTTATTGTGCTATAGCATGGATAACTATTTTGCCCTTTTATACCATCACAGACCATTTAATGGGATGAAACAATGCATTAATGCTGCTCACACGAGTTGCTATGGGGTGTGCGTTGCAAAGCACATCTGTCACCTGTTGTGCCAACGCAGTTCCTCCGCTCCTTGGGGCTGATTCCCATATGGGCTTGTCCTGGTCATGTGATCACCCATGAGCTCCTATTTCCTGTTTGGGGCACCTGATATCTGTCACCTGTTCCTTAGTATTGTCCCATTGACCTCTTAATTATCCACTCCCCATTCCACACCCTGTCTTCAAATGTGCAAAAATGGCTTAGAAAAATGAGCATCTTTCTTTCAGAATCAGAACAAAAAGACATAGATTAAATAGTATTAATTCAATTTAAATGGATTACCATTTTATTTTCCTTGGTGGACAATTTTAAAGTGTCCAGATATTATGCTTTAGGTTTTGCTAGTAGGATTCTGTTTAAAGTTCATGCATATAAGAATTGATAAATAGACTGAAATATGAACTGACAAACTAATAGAAGAATCATATTTCATAACCTCTATGCACAGTTCTAAGCTACAGGTTTTTATGCAGTATAAGACAGTATATTTTGTTTGTGAAAGAAATTGTGATACTTGAAAAATTGCAGCCTTTGCAATTTACTAATTGCGTCCATTCAAATTTTCAGTTTCATTGTGATTAATCTTGCATTTATGCCAAACACGCTAATATGCATCCTAAATGTTCCCAACTCTGTGCATTTGATGATTAACTTATTTTATTTGCTTTTGGAAAAAAAAAAAAATTGTATGCAAATTTTTAAATTCATTGTTCATTGTTCAAAATGTTGGGTATGGAAGTATTGACAAGCTGTTCCAGCAGTGCTTTGGTAACCCGCCCTGTACACTTCTTTTGTTCTTGCCCCATCCCAACACAAGCCGTTAAGAGCAGGAAGTGTCTGTCGCCGAGGAACAGTAGCATTCTTCTGTGCAGCAGGCTAATGGTGGAGCTGTCTGTCAGACCAGTGTTTTGACTGTGGACATTTTGTGCTTACACTTTTCTACTGCTTATGTCACACACAAGTTATGTCAATAAATATCAGTGTTTTCCCCCAGTGTTTATGTACAAGAATGTAACAGGTCCGCATTATGGGACACATTATAATGGGAAGATTATAGGAGAGATGGTCTGCTCAGTGTATAAAAGTACTTCAAATGAAATCAGGAATGGACTTCTAAATCTAAATGGAATCTAAATGAAGGCCTTGGCATATGGACGTGTGTGCTCCTAGAATGCAACTTTTCTCCTGTTTTCTGCAGTGAATGTGGAGTCAGCATCTGTGTGGAGTGGCTCTTGACTCCAGACAGGGACTCCTCTGTGGTCGCTTCTCTATGGGCTGATTGAGGGCCTAATGGCTCCATAGTTTCATCCAATTAGTCTTCCACTGCTTCTGTATGTAGAGGGCCTGCTCAGAGTGGATCTCTGAAGATCCCACTATCCTGCTCAATAAAACAATAGTGAAAACACAGGACATGTATTCTCTTGTGCTGTATTATTATATGGACTAATCCTATTTTTATTTTCTTCTCACAGCCTTTCTTCAGACTACTAAACCTCCGGAGGCTTGGACTGAGTGACAATGAGATCCAGAGACTTCCTCCAGAGGTGGCCAACTTCATGCAGCTGGTGGAACTGGACATTTCCCGAAATGGTAAACTCCCCTCACTCTTACCCCTCTGTCTACAATACTACTGTATGTCCATTCATCTTTAAGTAGAATAAGCACTGCTAATCACACCAATCACATTAAAAGCACACATGCTTATATTGTAATGCTCTCATGGAGGTAGTCAGTGATAGTTCCAGGCTGTAGGAGCCGCACCTGTAGCCCACACTGCAGTACTATAGAGCAGTGTGCAGTGGCCCCTCTGTCTGCTGCTGCAGGATAAATGCCATGCACTCTGCTCCGGGGGGAATTCACCACCTGTGCTTACATGAGGCTATTCTAAAGTAAGGCATCTAAATAGTTGCTGAAGAAACTTAAATATTTATCTATTGAAATATATTTTATTACAGCTTAAAAAGGTCAGGTTGGCTTGTTACTTGTTACTGAATAACTAATCTTCATTACTTCTACATAAAACAATGTGATGCATTTGCTCAGGTACCTTTGTTTTAAACACAGATATGCAATATAAGATGGTAAATGAGTAAATCCTAAATGGATGTAAATAAAGTGTGTGTGTTTATAATTGCTTTCCTCTTTCCTGTTGGGACACAGACATTCCTGAGATCCCTGAGAGCATTAAGTTCTGCAGAGCCCTGGAGATCGCAGACTTCAGTGGAAACCCCCTCTCCAGGTAACTGGACCAGAACATGGGCGTGACTGTGTTACATTTAACAGCAGTTTGTGTTCTTATACACTGCAAAACAATTGGACCTTTCACAGACATTCAGTGTACCATTGTTTAACACCAAAAGTCTATTCTCAAAGTAATGTTTGTATTTATTGCATAAGGTAATAAATGTATTATATGGTTCTCTTCGCCCAATCATTAAATTATATCATTATATTCTTTGAGTGTCAAAAATTATTAAAAAATGGGGTTTGTTTTCTGTTTCAGATTACCAGAGGGTTTCACTCAACTCCGTACACTGGCTCACTTATCTCTGAATGATGTGTCTTTGCAGACATTGCCCAACGACATTGGAAAGTATGTCTACATAACATATATATTTTCTATATTATTTTTCCCGAGTGATTGTTTCCTATTATATTGGCATAAAATAAAATAAAAAGACTTCTTTACATTTGATGTATTGAAAGACTGAAGAGGTTTACAGTAATTGTGAGTCCCCTGGGTGCCTGAGCCCCTGGCACCTGCTGTGTTAACACAGATGGAGGAGCCCCTTACCATGCCAGGCCTTGCAGACAAGCAGACAGGCCATCTGACAATCCAGCCTGCTCCCTCTGTTCTCCACTGCATTAGATCAATGCTCAACTGTCGACTCCTATCCAGTTTTCAGGCACGTGTTTTAGCTTCTCTTTCTCTTGTTTTTCTAGCCTGGCCAATCTGGTAACGTTGGAACTCAGGGAGAACCTGCTCAAGTCACTTCCCACGTAAGTGCCGCTTGTTTGTGATGGTATTCTTACATATAAATCCATTTGTATGCTATAATCTTATTTGTACGCTGTTTTAAAAATATATGTGTGTATTCAGGTCACTTTCCTTCCTGGTGAAACTGGAACAGCTGGACCTTGGCAGTAATCAGCTGGAAGTATTGGTAAATGAACAGCCCCTACACTTTTACTCTTCTGAAACATAGTTTGTCTGAAACCAGTAATTCCAATGTACCATTTATAAGGTGCAAGTTGGTCTCATAGATTCCTGTCATGCCCAAACTGTACTTGTTTAAGTCTTGAGGCAGTGTGTACTGTACCTAGACCGGTGCTGTTTTGTGTCAGGGCAACGCCCACTCTTCTCAGTGGAAGAGACCAAACAATACCTCCTGATCTGACAAGGGCGGAGGCTAAACAAACAGCTGACGACATGAGGAAACCTTTTCTCTGTGTCACAAGATGTTTCTATAAGCCATGCATGTTCTTTTAATATCTTACTGCAAATAAAACAGTAAAGCAAGTAAATCATATACTGTTTGCAATGTTCTTATTAAGACTGTCCTTTTGAAATGTAGTGTAACTGAAGTATAACATCAATTAAAAGCCAAAAAATGCAACGTGGTTTATTTTTCTGTTTAGCCTGACACACTTGGTGCTCTGCCCAATCTGAGAGAGCTGTGGCTAGACCGAAACCAGCTGTCTGCATTACCACCAGTGAGTACCGTCCTCCTGTAACCTTTTCATTTGTGTCATTGTTTTAATGCACTCTTTAATTGTACATGTGTGCCCTGTACTGTGTAGGAGCTTGGTAACCTGAGGAGACTGGTGTGTTTGGATGTGTCTGAGAACCATGTGGAGGAGCTGCCCTCAGAGCTCAGCGGCCTTATTGCTCTCACTGACTTGCTGCTCACACAGAACCTGCTGGAGGTGGTCCCGGACAGCATAGGTAACACATAACACTAGGGTTCAAACGTTGTCTTATTTGTGTACTAGGTAAAAGTTTAACACATAGTTAGGCAGCACCCAAGTTAAACATGTCAGTTTTAAAAACAAGGACAACAATGACCCCTTGTGGCAAGTCAGAGTCACTAACAATAATAGTCCTCTGTACTGACATACTTGATGCAAGATTTTCCCGATATATGATTATTTGTTTAGCAAATCACAGGGGCCAATGTTTTAAGGTATTATGAAGTTCCTTTGTTAGCAAAAACATGTTTCCATTTCTTCATCTGTACAGTAGTGTACTGAATTATGTACTATGTAAATTGTCATGTACATATTTTGTCCCTAGGACTGAGAAGAGACGGATCATTCTGTTTTTGGGGCAGGCTCTGAGCTGATTAGACAATCAGACTCAGATCACTATTTGAATAGTTTAGTGATCTTTCAGAGTCTCCGTGGAGCTAATATGTTTTTGTTAGTTTAGAGGCCCATTTCATTGCAAGATAAACTATGCTCTCTAAACTTCTTGATTGTGAAATCTAAATGGTTAAACCAAATAATGAATCACATTTACTTAATAATTTCCAAAATGGTTGGTACCCGGTAGGGCTGAACATTTCCACCCTAACATTCCCTTGCTGCTTTATTTCCCAGGCTCCATGAAGCAACTGTCCATTTTGAAGGTGGACCAGAACAGACTGACACATCTAACAGACTGTATAGGGGAGTGTGAAAACCTCACAGAACTTGTCCTGACAGAAAACCTCTTACAAGTAGGTTTAAAATAATGTTTATTTGAGCATCTGCTGTGGATAGTGAAAAGGCATGATTTACTAACTCTATGTACTTTGCTCTCTAAAAGTCACTTCCTCGCTCACTGGGCAAGCTTAAGAAGCTGACCAACCTGAATGTAGACCGCAACAGACTAAGTGGTATTCCCAAAGAACTAGGGGGCTGTGCCAGCCTTAATGTCCTCTCACTCAGAGATAACCGCCTGGCCAAACTGCCTGCTGAGCTTGCAGATGCCACTGAGCTGCATGTCCTGGATGTGGCTGGGAACAGGTACAGATATAACAATAACAAACTTAGTAGCCCATAAAGTTAACTCATTTCAGTTTAAATGACAGATTTGTTTGTCTTTATTCTGGCTAAGTCAAGTTTTGTTTTTTTGTGTGCAGATTACAAAACTTGCCTTTTGCTCTAACAAACCTCAACCTCAAAGCCATGTGGCTGGCAGAGAATCAGTCACAGCCGATGCTCAAGTTCCAGACAGAGGACGATGAGAAAACTGGAGAGAAAGTGTTGACATGCTACTTGTTGCCACAGCAGCCCTCTCCAAGCCTAGGTAGGACTTGGTTCATGCCCATAGGATCTGATCGAATATGGATTTCTTTCATGGTTACACTTCACTGTGTCTTAAACAGAGAACCTGCTGCAGAACAGTGTGGATGATAGCTGGACAGACAGTAACCTCAACAGAGTGTCAGTCATTCAGTTCCAGGAGGAGACCAAAGCAGAGGCAGAGGATGATGATGACGCAGAGCGAAGAGTAAGGGCATTAAGATTTACTGTTTCATGTATCATCAAGTCGAATTGCATTACTTTGTTTGGCTTTGTTTAGGGCCTTCAGCGCAGAGCCACGCCACATCCCAGTGAGCTGAAGGTTATGAAGAAGGTAATTGAAGAGAGAAGACATGAAGCCTACACGTCGAAACCCGATGGAGAAGATGACGACACAGACTCGCATGTATGCAATGCTTTCAGTATTTCAGAATTTGAAAGTGAATGAGCTGTATATGTTTTATGCTCACGCTATGTTAAGACTAATTAAGATATAGTTGTTATAATGTCATGATAATTACTTTATGACTTATAGTTCAGTACGTGAAAGCGTGAACAGTATCTCAGCTAAATATTTTTATTGTGTATACAATTTCTTTTCAATAGTCAGGAGATTATTGCCAAAAAGGTCAGATTTGAGCTATAGAGGGTAGAATAAATAACTTCTATGGCTAATGATTGGTTCCTTCTGCTATTTATTTGTTGTGCAGGCCTTTTAATGATATTATACATTTTAAAATTGATTTACTTGATTTATCTTGATTTGTGTCAATGGCATAATTTATGTATTTAATTTTATTATTTATCGCAGTATTTCTCTGTAGCGATATATTGTGCTTCAAAATGTGTTATTGTGACAGGCTTAATAAATGCTTTATATGAATAACAAAAACACTATACTATTTTAATACCTACGTTAATGAAATATGTGGATTCTAGGAGAAACGTCTGAGTGACATATCCAACCAGAGCCATGAGTCACAGGTGTCCAACAGTACTGCGTCTGCTGCCTCACACGAGGACAGGAGTGATGTCCCCACGGCCCCGCACAGAGACATGGTGGACGGACACGGTCACCATCACGAGGAGGAGCTAGACGAGATGGAGGTGGAGTACATCGAGGTAATGTCCAAATGGAGTCCTACATTCAAGCTGAGGCAATTTATGATTTCAAGGATGCGCTGTTATGGAAAAATATTTGAAATCATGATTATTTGAAACATTTATTTATGTGCATGCATTGACTCTATATATAAATGGACATAGCTAACCCGCTAGACACCACGTTCCAAATAGGAAGTGAGCATGGGGGCCCTTCTGGCTCTGTCAATTCTGGTTTCAATTGACTTTACATTGAAAAATTGGTCTTAAAATGTTTGTATTAACCCAATCTACATGATCCTGGTGTTTTTATTACGTTATTTTGTCCATAGATAAATTCCTATTACTAATATAGTACTCTGCTCTAAATTCGCTCCTATAACTGCAAGCCACATGAGCTTCATTTGACTGTTGCCGAACGCTATGGATGACGTCACACTTCCTTAGTCCACTTCTTTATACAGTCTATGTGTGCAGGCCAAAGTTAATAGAATAGACTTATGATCTTTTGTTAATCTAGTTTTAAGACCACTATGGATTAGCTGTGTGCCAGGCTTTGGAGTATCCTTAACATTCAGACCAGAATTGTATTTTTGTTTACATAATTTTTGTATGATGAGCAATAATTATAATCTCAATAAAAATTTTGATTGTTAATTACATGTAAAAGGGCACTTGATTCCATTTCAGTTCTGTCCAATTAGTTCAGTATGTCACCATCTGGACAAGACTCCAAAAGGCCACAAAATTGGGCTTTAGCACTTACCTCCATATTAATTTACAAGATAGGGTTATGAAATACTAAACTATGGTCTCTTCTCAGGATAAAATTAAACTTGTTGTGAAATGTATTTATTTTTTCTAGCCAACCGTGCACTTTGCAGAGGAACCCATCATTCGTGGTGGTGAGGAGGACGAGGATGAGGACGGGGAAGTGGGAAGCGACGAGGAAGATGAGCGGCCCCCTTTTCCAGCTGAGAAACAACGTCTTATCAGAAAAGACACGCCACACTACAAAAAGCACTTCAAAATCAGCAAGCTGCCCAAACCAGAGACTGTAGCTGCTCTGCTCCAGGGCTTCAGTCCCGATGGGGTCAACTCTGCCAATCAGACAGTGGACAATGACCAGGAGGAGGAGGAGGAGGAGGAGGAGGAGGAGGAAGAGCAATCTTTCAGCACCACCCAAAATAATCAAAGAATAGATGAGGAAGATGGTAGAAATCAGGTCAACTCCAGTCAAGTGAAGGTAAAGGGGCCATCCAGCTTTTTGGCAGGATTCGTGTTACATATGCCAACATAGGAGTCTTTTCGCTGTTATTTCTCAACAGTAAACTAATGTACACATCTATTTTCTATACAGTGATACAGTATGAAATTACTTCTTATACTACCACACAAATAACCTTTTATACTCTAATCAGGGAATCCCAGGATAGCTAAATTTAAACCCTTGACACAAACATAAAATTGTAATTACAGTAGCTTTAATGGCATAGCAGAGTTATAATTGTTTTTTTGTATGTCAGAAACCCTGGGAGATGCCTTGTTTAAGAGTGCCATCTTTCAGATACAAACTAAATTAATCAGATCCATACAGAAATGTCACCACATATATGCTTTTGCTGCAATAACAATTATCACGGATGAATGGGATAATTTCTAATCCAAATTGTACGTTGATGTTAGCTACTATTAGTTACTTGTGACACAATGAAGTTTGATGATTTCAAACTGATTCGACTTAAATCTCACCAAATCATTTGTGTGTGCGAGCGCTTGTGGATGTGTGCGTTTGAGAATTACCTCACACCAGATCAGATATTGGCAGAGCTGGAAAACAAGACCCAACTTGCATGGAGCCAGCTGTAATTTGATACTTGGTTAAATTGATTCATTGTCATCATTCCAAGTAGTTGTTGTTGGGGACAGTGCCCTCTGTGGTGTTGGGTCGGCTGGGACTCGGGAGCTTTGCCTTCTTTATGCACTTTCTCTTGCACTAAACGCAGCTCCTAGTCTCACGTTTCCATCTCTGCCTTTATGTGCTGCTGGTGGCTGGGGAGTGTCTGTGAATCACCTCTGCTTGGAAGTGAATTGGCCAACTATATGTCCCTTCACTTTTAAGACGACAGTGCTTATGACAGTTGAATGTTATTACCAAAGAGAGGATGGGCTGTGAATGAGAGCACATAATGTGGCCTGACTAATCCGCATGCTTCTCGCTGGTTCCTGTCCTAACAGGGGGTGTCATTTGATCAAGTCAATAATCTGCTGATTGAACCTGCTCGAATTGAGGAGGAAGAGGTCTGTACCTACTCTTTCCACCAGTCTTTTCCCTCACTCACATGTGCTCTACCAGGGGGAAAACATGCCCACAAAATCATCAACTTAAGCAAGTTTAGTGGGGCTGGAAATGTTTATTAATCTGTTTTCATTTAGTATATTTAATAGGTTAACGCAAAATACCTCATGTGGAAACAGGATAATTATAAGATTAATCACATAAAAATAATAATAATAATAATAAATCTGATCTCTCAGTTGATCTAAACTGGGTCTTCTTAGAATTAAACAAACTGCTGATAGTACAACATTTCAGAAGCACTGCTTATGTTCAAGTGTTTAATCCTGCCTCTATTACATGTGCTTATTGCCTCTACTGCTTTGCTTTTCTCTTTTGACATAATGGAATAATTTTATGCTAACTCACACAACATTTCAAAATACTAATTTAATACATTTTTGGTCAATAAAGACATCAGAAAATTATTTGGAGGAAAATGTGCAGTGGATATTTTGATCAACTGATTTGGTATTGGCTGCATGTCCCAGTATTGTAGCTGTTCTTATTATTTTAAGGGGGTATGTCTTTCCTTGAAAATGTGCCTGTTTGGTATTTCCCGTGTCCTATAGCTTTTCTTGCTGCATGTTTTGTCCCCAACAAATTAGACTTTACTCAGCTGTTTGCAGTTATTTCACACCATAGTTTCATCAAGAGTCTAGAATATACGTCACCTGGTATTAGCTTTGTTATGACTCTACCTTTTCAACTGACAGTACACCTTGACCATCCTGAGGCAGACTGGAGGCTTAGGAATCAGCATTGCTGGGGGAAAAGGATCTACCCCTTATAAAGGAGATGATGAGGTATGACTTAATAAGAAGTATGACTTAATACAAAAACAAAGATAATGTGTGCGATGTTTTGTTTTTGGTTCTAGGGAATCTTTATTTCTCGAGTATCAGAAGAAGGACCTGCTGCTAGAGCTGGTGTTAAAGTGGGAGACAAACTACTAGAGGTAAATGGACTGATCTGAAAATAGACTTTGTTTGCAAAACCTATACTTATTGTTCATGTGTTTGCTGTAGGTCAATGGGGTGGACCTCCATGAAGCAGAACACCACACCGCGGTAGAGGCTCTGCGTAGTTCAGGGACTTCAGTTTCCATGACGGTGATCAGGGAGAGGATGGTGGAGCCGGAGAACGCCATCACCACCACTCCACTGAGGCCAGAGGACGACTACTTTCCCCGTGAAAGGCGGAGTAGTGGGCTAGGCTTCAATGTGGATAGCGCCCCCAGTGGTCCGCGCCAGCGCCTGACCACCTGTCTCATCCGCAATGACAAGGGCCTTGGCTTCAGCATCGCAGGGGGCAAAGGCTCCACACCATATAAACAAGGAGATACAGTGAGATGCTAACACGCTAATTACAAATTTTTACTTCATTTACAGGTGTTTACTAAGCTTTTATGTGAACAAGAACCAACAATAAGGATACTGTTGTTTGTTGCTTTTAAGTTGGCTAGCTGCAGGTTAGATGCATTCTAGCTGCAGCACACTGGTCGCCGAGGAGACAGAGATATGAATAGCCAGCCTTGACACATGATATGTGCGCTGTAGCTGGTCAGGCTGAGTTGTGTATTTGGGTCAGTGCTCAGGTCTGTGCAGTGCTGCTGTAAAATGGCAGTAACAGGGAGGAGAGGACTCATAAACATGTGATTTAGACGGGTCACACTGTAAGTTTAGCTTTGCTTTCCAAAAGAGCCTTTGAAATGGATGCAATGACATGGTTTGTTGGTCTGAGGGAGGAGTTGGTTCTGTAAGCAGTGCTCAGGCATGTACCTACTAACTTTGTAATGGGACATGGTTATATGTATAATGGTGCAGCAATGCAGAAATGACTCTCAGCATTTCAACCCATGCTATTGATAAATTTGCCATTGCTTTTCCATATGCATGTCTTTGTGACAATTAAAGAAGAGTTGATAAACTTCATGTAAATCGAACCATATTCCTATTTTCCTAACCAGGCCTCTTGTTTCAGGGCATCTACATCTCTCGGATAGCAGAAGGTGGAGCAGCACACAGAGACAGCACTTTGAAAGTTGGCGACAGAGTCCTCTCTGTGAGTACCACACAACCATTTAAACTAAATTCGATCTTTTCTGTTAGCAAAGTCTTTGTTGCTTTTTAATGTGTCACATGGATGATGACGGTGCCTTTGGGTGACTTGTAGCTTCTTTCCAGTGGTCTATTCCACACATACGCTGCCTCTGTGTTTCCCCCTCACACTCTCCCCTGCATGCTCACTAATGTGTTGAGTGTGCCTTCTGCCTGCTCGGTGGTGGGTGTGGTGTGGGGCCTGTCACCCTGCTGTGGTCAGTGATCATTGCAGTGGGTGAAATGGCATGTGAGCCAATGGTAAGAGCTGCTACTGTCAAGCCAGTGCTGACCTCTGCTCACTCCTGAATGACCAATAAAATAATATGCATGCTTTAAAGCTACTAGCAATTATGAATGCGAGCAGCCACACAATTTGCCTTTGTTTTCTTAAGAGCACACATTTGGATAACCTTCCACTTGTTTTTAAGAAAATAAAGGCAACGGTAAATATGTTTAAAGTGGAGGAGGGTGAGAAATAACACCGTATTGCATAAGATTCTCTGTCACTTTTCCCAGAAAAACATTGGCACAACACAACTGCCTTAACTATGTACAACAAACTAAATTTTTCTGAGAACGTAGGTTTTCATTTTGAGTTCTGAACATTAATCACAATTTAAAATTTAATTAACCAGTATTAGGAAAGTGTGGCTTTGTTTTACTATGCACAGCTGGCTGGCCTTGCAGTTCCTCCTTTTCTTAACTCCTTTTCTTTTCTGCTTATCACTGCTTTTCAATGTTGGGTTTTCTTCTTAATAGCATCGCTCATTCTAAAAAACCCAGTCCAGAGTTTACACATGTAATTCTATCAATAATGGCCAGTGCTGCCACATGTCACTGTGAATGCCCTGGTGAACCCCTCCTCGGTCTGCTGTTTAGATCAATGGTGTAGACATGACAGAGGCCAGACATGACCAGGCAGTAGCGCTCCTTACTGGCACCTCCCCCACTATCGCTCTGGTGGTAGAGCGCGACCTCAACCCCCCCTCTCCAGGACAGAACCGGGCCCGCGCCCACTCCCCGCCTCCCCCAGAGCCCTCGGACTCTCCTGACCAGGACGAGCAGGGCACACACCTGGGCCGCCTGGAGGATGAGTACCCCATAGAGGTAAGAGCACCAGTAAACACTTGAGTCTGTTTCTCCTTGAAATTGTTCCATAATGACTTACTGTCTGTCAATAATTGTATCTGGCCTTCGATGTTCAGCTCCAGAGAAAATGGTGCATGGTACGAAAGCCTGTTTAGAAAATGTACGGTTGTTGTTGTGTTTTTGAATGTAGGCTGATAATTATTAGCAATATCCACTTGACTTCTTCCTTGGTGTAATCCAAAGCTGCTAATTTCCTTGTTGTATATGTATCCATGAAATAGAATAAAGGTAGCAACAGGTGCTGAAAGCTCCCTGTAGCTGTTGTATTTTGACCTCCTTGTATTCTCGCTTGACTATGTTTGGTATATTGTTTGCTCTAGGAGGTGACTTTGGTTAAGTCAGGTGGTCCCCTCGGTCTAAGCATTGTTGGAGGGAGTGACCACGCCAGCCATCCATTTGGTATCAATGAACCTGGAGTTTTCATCTCAAAGGTAGAGTTTGGATAAACACTGACTGTATCCAGTTGTGTAAATATAAAACCTAACATGTACTATCTAAACAGGTCATTCCTCATGGTCTGGCTTGTCAAAGTGGGCTTCGTGTTGGGGACAGGATTTTAGAAGTCAACACGATCGACTTGCGTCATGCTACACATCAGGAGGCAGTGCGTGCCCTGCTGGCTAATAAACAACAGATCCGAATGTTGGTGCGACGGGATCCCTCTCCACCAGGAATGCAGGTGAGACGGGCTCGTCAGTGTGTTATGCACCAAGGGGTTTACTTTGGAATATGGATAATAATGCATTTTCTGTATAATCTTTTAGGAGGTGGTCATTCATAAACAGCCTGGAGAAAAGCTGGGCATCAGTATTCGAGGTGGAGCCAAAGGCCATGCAGGCAATCCCTTTGACCCCACAGATGAGGGGATCTTTATCTCCAAGGTGACTGGCAAATGTTAACATCACCATTATAATTTTTGTGTCTTTATGCCTTAGTCTTATCCTTGCTGTTATGTTGCTCTGTCCTCAGGTGAGCTCCACTGGCGCGGCTGCTCGAGATGGCCGTCTGGACGTGGGCATGAGGATTCTGGAGGTGAACAACCACAGCCTGCTGGGCATGACCCACACTGAGGCTGTGCGTGTACTCCGCTCAGTGGGAGACTCTCTGGTGATGCTGGTGTGCGATGGCTTTGACCCAGGGAAGGTGACTGCAGTAGAGGTACGTCAAGAAGAGACAGGGAGGCTACAATGCATTCATTGATTTGTTTTATTGAAACTTTGTTTTTATTTGACAGGCTTCTCCTGGGATAATTGCAAACCCATTTGCCGGAGGTATTGTCCGAAAGAACAGTTTGGAGAGTATCTCTTCCATAGACAGAGACCTCAGCCCTGAGGAGATGGACATCATACAGAAGGTATAATACACGAACAATCACACATATTTATCTGTAGTTTAGCATGGTCCAGAAAGTAGCAACAAAATGTTCACCTGACCTAGATAATTTGCTCAGCAGGTTTTTTTTTTCAAAACCTACCAGCTACAGCAAAGCAAAACCTCACACTGGAATTCACTTATTCAGACATTTCTACCTCACTGCGAATCATTCCACTGATTGCCAACAACAGTTCCAATGACAAATCAGTATTTAATGATTATACATATGTGTGATCTCTTTGTATTGTTTAGGAGGTGGAGATGGTGAGGGAGACTTCTCAATGGGAGCGCGAGGAGATGGAAAAAGTGGTGAGTACAAGCATTCCAGTTAATGTTACAAAATAATAATTCTATGGCCTAAAGTCAGTGCAGCAGAGCTAGAAGTGTATTGGTGTAAATGAGTGAATGGTGCTTTTCCCTCTGCTACTGTGTGGACATTGTATTTAAAACAACTACTCTGACTAAGTCCCACCTTGCATGACCTCTGTTCCCACAGCTTAGTAATAGTGTACCTTTTTAATAAGTGTGGATTCTCCCCCTTCTCTCTCTCTCTTCCTGTGTTCCCTTTCGGTGCGTTTGGTGTGATAACATTCATTCCATCCATCTCTCCCTCTCTAAACCACCACCCCATCTGTTACACCTCCTCCCTCTCATCGCTTCACTGTGTGGCTTTTTGGTTGGGTTCTTCCTTCCATACTTCCTCTTCCACTCTTGGTGAAGGAGCGTATGCGTTTGGAGCGAGAGGAGGCAACTCGCCTGCTAGAAGAAGAGACGGAGGTGAGGGAGACTTCTCATCTTGTCATCAGCAGGCTCTTACACTGTAAAGGGCAAAGAATTATAGCAGAGATCCAATGCATACAGAGCTCGGGATTATACTGTTACCAATGGAGATTTTAGAATGCTAAATACTAAAACTAGTGTGCATGTGTTTACTTTTTGATTGGACAAAAAAAGATTAATGCTTGTGTGTTACACCTTTTGAGAAAAAGCACTGCTGCCACACACAAAAAAATAAAAATAAAAATTGAGAGGCCATATTGTTAACTGGATAACTCAAATTCTTTTTGTTTTATAATTTGTTAAGATCTTGCATTGTTTCATTCTTAATAACCCAATCTTGTGTCTTGTCTTGCCCCATCTCTAATTGCAACACTATGGCGTGATAAATGATTTACCAGTTGTGACTCAACAACTTATTAGGTTTTTTCACACTTCTTTTTATGTAACATAGAATTTTTTATGCTTGAATTGACTAGCGACGTAACCTTTTTCACCATCAATCCTGAGCTGTACATCAAATTTGAAAATATATTGAGATATATTTTAATTTTTTACATTAACATTTATTTTTTTCCATTGCAGAATATTGGACCTGGGCCGCTAAAACTTGACTACAAAACCCTGGCGGCTCTTCCAATGACCAGCTTACAGAAGGTCAACAGGGTAAGTCAGCATCTGCTGTTGTAAAATGTAAAATATTGGGCTATGTTGGCAAATGGCCTTTAAATCTGAGAATAGTACTGAATATTTTAGACGTTTGTTGTTCTTTTCCTTGAGAAACTGTGACCATGAACGACCAGTTGCTGCTAAAAGGTCTGCCATGTTGACTTCTGGTTCACAGCCTCAAGTGTAGACATGGAATTCTTGCTCATACTTCTATCATAATATCCAGTCTTTTGTGTAAATCAGAAGATGGATCAGCTTTCATGGAACTTGGCCTTGTTTTTGTAAAAAATCAAGTTAACGAGAAGAAATGCTTTTGGAGAGAAGAGTGGCTTTTTAGCTGAAGTCTTTGCTCCAAGGTTCCCCTGTTCTTGAGGTGAACAGCTTGCCATTATCACGCTGCCTATCCTCTGTGATATTTTAAACCGTCTTCTGGTTCTGAACTGGCCAGCCTCTTGAGTGGGTGTGGCACTAAAGAGGGAGAGAGAGGGGGAGAAGGAGAGAGGGTGTCTGTGAAGAGTGGACAAGTGCTGCAGTTTGACTTCCACTGGTCTGAGCTATATATTAGAGTGGACCTACTAATCAAGCTTCAGCACTGTAAGTACCACATACAACTGGAGCGTGAAATGTGAGTTTATTTACTTATATTCTATATGTCCTTTCTGATTTTGGGTTGCCTTTTCTCGGATTGTCTGTTTTAGAGTTAATTAGACATTCATTTCTAAAAGTTTTGCTTTTATAAACACAATTTCCTTTGAAAATACTTGTACACACCACTGATGTTGAGTAGATGTCCATTGCCCTTTGTGACCAGTTATATTGACCAGAATAACTTAACCTACATAGCTCTTGCAGCTGTTCATAGTGACTGAATAAGACCCAGATTTGTGGCCCTGGCTCAGACATTAGTCATGCTCAAAAGAAGTCGCCTTGATAATACTATCTGAGCTCACCTACTTGTTTATATTGAAGAGATTGTCTTTCATGTAATTGGTGCTAATTATATAAAATATACAATTTAAAGTCAACAATTACTACTTGTTGATGTATTCGCACTCTATTCACTCTCCACATGGCTAGCTCGTGTTAGCCTCACAGGGGGCCAGCTGTCCCCCACAGATTGTATTTGAGCCAAAATGGTCCTCGTTCACATTCCAGCCTACTGACCCTTATCACCACAATACATACTATGGTCAGCACTGTGCTCCCCACAATGGTTGAGCTATTTTCATTACTACTCGGAATGCCCTGGCCTCATACGCTAAGGATTATTTATTGACTTGTGGTTTCAGTGTTAAAAGAAATAAAATTCAAAAAGTGTGATCCATTGTTAAATGATCTCTGAGAAAGTGTCCTGAGGCCTAACTCTCTCCATGAGCTGATAATAGTTATTTAAGGCAGAAACTGAACCACCACTATCTGACCCACACTGGGTACAGCTCCAAGAAACCCCAATTAGAAGTGAAGGGTCATTTCATTGTACTGAATGTTTCACTGCTTTATTCAGTATTCTTTTACTGTGTGTACTTGTTTCTTGTGGAGGTCTTTAGTTGTCCCCTTTCCCCCTCAGCCCCCTGTCAGTCTGACTGCTCCCATGGCAGCCCCTCTTCAGGCCAAGTATGTTGCTCCTATAGACCCTCTGGGGTTTGACTTGAGGCACTCCCTGGTGGAGCAGGAGTCCTGCCCCAGCCTCAGCTCAGACCAGGATTACCTCTTTCCTAATGGGACGTCTGCCTCTGTAAGTGAGTGCTCCATCACCACTCTGGACTCCTCATGTGCTCCTGACGAGGAGGAGTGCTTGGTGGATTCTCAGCCAATGTGCTTCAAAGAGAATCCATTCTTGGTGGCCAACCGCAAGGGCAAAGGCCTCCCACCGGGTCAGCGAATCCTGTCTGGACCTCCAGTGGGCTACGGTAAACCAGGCCAACTACAGCCATGGCTCCACAGCAAGGCAAGATGGCGCCTGTGTGGTTTGGGCGCATGGTGTGACATCTCAGCACTTCCCTTTTAAAGTAATTGGACATGTGATATTATTTGTATTTATCATCCTACAATCCTGACACCATGACTGCTTGTGGGAAACCAGCAGCTGAATTGGTGCATGTTTTTGCTGTGAGCACTGAGTAGGACTCACCTCAGCAGATATTTAAAACATGGTCAGGACTGACTGAAATGTGTGTCCCAACAGCTGAAGCCCTGTCATACAGCAACCTGAGCTGCAGGAATGAGCATGGCGGCTGCCACTTTGTTGTTGGTCACAACTAACCAGAAAATGTCTCTTGTTATAATGTTTGGTTTTTGAATAAAAAGTGTGACAACTTTTAAATATCATGCTTTATTTTTCAGGCACCATCTGGTGATTACACCAGGACTGAGAGTCCCGTCAGAGAAGCCCCTTATTCTCCTACTGTACAGCCTGTAAGTCATACCGCTTATGATTTTCTGTACCTTCTCATGTGTCATTTTGACTTCATCTTTTCTTTGACATAAATCAGTTTTGTAGTGCAGGATTTTTAGAGTTGACCCTTGACCCTTTCCCCCACTCTTAGCCCAGCCACCAGTCTTCTTCCAGCTCCCTGTGCAAAGGCAGGGAGACCCGCTTTGTAAGTGGCCCTCCCTGCTCTAGCCTCCCTGCTCTAGCCTCCCTGCTCTGGTCTGGGTGTTAGGTTTTTTGAGATAACGGGCTAAGCTGCCGTTTTTGCTGCGGTCCTTCAGGCTCAAACAGCATGTGGCTGCTTCTGAGGGCCTGCTACTCGTACTTTGACAAACTAGATGCAGAATGTGTTGTCTGTACTGTTTTACAGATGCAAATTCTCACTGAACTAAAACAGTGAACAGCACCTTGTTGCACAAAGTTACCATCACCAAACCTGTTTTGATTATGAATTTATCATAAAACTGGGATAAGGTAACCTTGTGCTGTTGCATTGTTTGAAAGGTAGCTTTGCCTAATTGTAAAAACTTAACTGCATTGCCTTTGGTTTATTTATGATCCTTTTTATTTTGCATCTTTTTTATTTTTAAAACCATATTTATGTTTCAGGCAAACATTCATTACACTTCCACCCCCACTGCCAAGGACAACTTTTTATCATCCGTGAGTGCCAAGTCACACCACTCATCTTCATTTTCTGTTCAAGCATTTTAAACTTGCATGTTAATGTGTTCCTATTGACAATCTTGTTTTCTGTGTCTGTAGACACGACCAGGTGCCATCCAGCCAGTGGGGCGTGTGCGGCCGACTACCTCTCCTGGCACTCCGGACGGCCACAGCCCTAACCCTTTTCAGCATGGCCCCTCCCCATTCAACACCCCGACCTCTGTAAGACCCCTGACCACTACCACCACTTAGGCCTGGGCACGCTCATTTCAGTGTGTGCCAATAACCATGCAAACTGTGCCTGAGTAAATATATACAGGGATTTTTCTAAATGAGCCTAGAACCAAAGACCAGTGAATACCAAACTATGCATTTGCCATTTATTATTATGGGATGTTTGCTTTCTTTATAACATATTTAAAGATGCATCCATTCCAGTATTGTATATCTACTCAGCTTGATGTTTTTATAAGTATTGGTAATTTTAAAAAATTACTCACTACTATTTACATAGAGAAATAGTTTTATACATTATAGAGTATCTTGTTCTTAAGTGTGCTGTGATCCTTTGTAAATGAATCCATGCTCCTTAGCTCAGCATGTTCAGACTCCTAGGTCCTAGCTAGCTTCTTTGTCTTTTTTTTTACATTTTTAACTTCAAATTGTACATGTACCTGAAATAGGTACCTGTTTAAGCAATAATCAGTAGAGTATTTCTACAATGGATAGCACTGACTCATCTCACACCTTCCTGGTTCTTCATACATGGCATCTACACCAGAGTCCCACTGTTGCTCCACTCGTCACTTAAAACCAGCCGCCATGTTGTGTGTCTCTTCTGTCTGCTACATTGCTGGTTTTTCTCATAGTCTACCCTCTCCTCCATGTCTTGTCCTATCTCTTCATACGGACCTCCTCATTGCCCCCCCTTCAAAACACCTCACTCCCCTCCCCACAGCCTCGCGCCCCCTCCCCCACATCGCCCAACGAGTTCCCCCTGAACGTCAAACAGGCATACAAGGCTTTTGCCGCCGTGCCGCGCTCCCAGGCAGTTCTGGAGCCCCCGCAGGTAGGACGAGATCACCGTGCCGACCAGGTTATGACCACCAAGCATGCTGTGCCCATTGGTCTACCCTGTGATACTGTGGAATGGGCCATCTGTGCTGTGAAGTGTGGAATGCCCTTATTTCATCGTCTGTTTCATAATGCCATCAACTGTGATTTGTCCATTCAAAATGTGTTTTGTACTAATGCTGTTATTTTCCTATATGTGCTGTGATTAATCAGCCTGCCTATGGTCTATGTGTGTCAGTGTGCTCTTTTTGGTCTGATGTGTTCAATAATAAAATTTATTCACTTTTTTCAGGACCTATATGGGGTCAGGAACAATTTCCATCCTCAGCAGCCTTCTCCAGAGGTGAGTCATTTATGCTTAAATATTAAAAAAGCTGCATCTGTTAAACCTTGAAGAGAAATTGTGTCACAACAGTAAAATTTTATTTTTTTTCTCAATTCTTCTGGGTATGAATAAAAATATGATCTTTGAACATAAATCACAAATCTAATGTAATGTAATGTAATTCTTGTCAGAAAAATCGCAATTAGACATTATTCTCAAATCAGTTAGCCCTATAGCTTGCTGTGTGATATTTGATACTTTTGGCAACACTAACCAAACCTAACTACACTTCAAATGTAGAATAAAGTCAAATCTAAGTATTTTGATTGCATCAAGCCTCTGAGTGGCTCTAACAGTTGATGGTGGTCTATATGGCCTTTCCAGCCTGAGTTCATTGAAGTGTTTGAGACTGTGGATGGTCAGAAGGGCCCTGAGGTGCCCCCCAGGCCGTCCCTCTCCCCTGAGCGGAGAGAGTACATGAATCTGGCTGCAGTGCCCCGTCTGTCTAGGCCCTCCGTGGACATGAAGGTACCGGTGTCTCTCACAGCTAGAGCAGCCCTGTGAGCGGTCGGGGGGAGCTGGACTTGGCTGGTGGTGGCAATTTCCTCTCTGGCAACAATAATCATGCTTCTTGCCTTAATGAATCTATCATTTTCAGTCAGTTGATTGATCCTTATAATGGTGATGGGTCTTATTAGAAATCTATGTATTTATTGATTTTCATTTTGTGAAATCGTTCGTGTGCCGTTACTTTCTGCAATGTGTTATGTCTGTGAAGGCAGCAGTTCTGATAATAGTATATACTAATTGAATGGGACATTTGTTGTAAAGGATTTAAACTTGTAAATAATCCTGGCCAGACATCCTAATTCCTTTCTGTTGTGTAAAGGCATTTGTTTTTGTCTCATACCCTGAAACATAGACACAGATTAAACATTGTGTATTAATTGGTTTATAATGTTGCACCAGAGTTTAGACAGTGACACCATTCATTGTTTTTTTTACTAGGAAGCATTTTGTAATGATCATTTTGAAAAATGCTTTACAAATAAATGTATTATTATGTAATCTATGTATGATAAATCACTCAAATGTACACTATGTACACTAGTATGAGACCCAGTGTTTGATTAACTGCAGTTAGGAATGGGATGACAACTTGAATCAATCCACTCACTCATCTAACAATGTGAGAAAAGGTAAACCTTGACTTTTCTCTTCAGTTAATGCTTTCTATAATTATTTTCCAGACTCCTTCTCCTGGGGGTAAGGACAGCCCAGAGCAGCGATCCTTCAGAGACCGACAGAAATATTTTGAAATCGATGTTAAGACCCAGACACCAGAGAAACCCAAGCCGCGGGTGTCACTTGTAGGAGCAGATGACCTGAAGAAGATGAGGGAAGAAGAAGGTCTGTCATTTGTCTAAACCTTTTCATTTGTTACTAAATCTGTTAAATATGCTCTGTTCACTTGATGTCATAATATTTTAGAAAACCTATAGTTTAACAGACCTGGAGGTAAGGTCAGGTTTGTGTGGTGGAATGTATATATATATATATATATATATATATATATATATATATATATATATATATATATATTTGTGTGTATATGTGTATATGAATATATATATATATATGTGTGTGTGTGTGTATATATATGTGTATATACTGTACTATACTGTATGTACTAGATAGTTTCTGTTAAATTATTTTGTGCAAATTGCTTCAGAAACTAGTAGCATTATTTAGTGACACACACACTGTCACATTGCCAGTTGAAAGGACTTTGAGCCAGAAGCCAATTTCAAACAAACAATCTGGTTCACCATTTCGGGAAGTTCTTGTTGTTTTGTTTTTCATCTTAAAATTATCCTAATAAAATTGTAGAACATAAATGCACCCTATAAATTTCAACTTTTCCTGGTTAATAACTCCATAACCTGACATATTTCCACAGAGCGTAAATTTGAGCAGCGAGCTCGGGAGTATCTCATGGATGACGATGATGAAGATGAGGAGGACGAGGACCTGGCTAAGCAGGTGGCTCAGATGAAGGTCACAGGGAAGGTGCTGTTGGATGGAGTCGAGTACAAAGTGGAGCCTGCTACCTCCCCATCGCCGCACTGTGCCACACCACCGGGCTACTATGGCAGCTCAGGGTAAAAGATTGCCTCTAATTGGTTATTTCAATAAACGTATATTTCATCATAAAATATATATATATATAATATATATAAAATATACATCATACTTTATGTTCCCAGGCCATCCTCAACTGATGGAAAAGGAGACTCTCAAAGGAATTCCTTGGAGGACAGTTTCAGATTGGAGCAGAGGCCAAACTCTATGACTGGGTACAGCAGCATGCAGCTTTACCGTGTTAAAATCATGTGGTTAAACATACCATATTACACAAAATTGACCTTTGTGAGCTTTTAGCCATGTTGTAATGTTGTTATCTTCTCAAAAACATACTTGGAGTTGTGTTTCATGCCATTCACAGATGACTGAGTAAACCTTATCAGGTTACGTATATTATTAGTCTGTCTACATCTCAGAAGCTCAAAATGCATTGTACTACCTTGTGATGTCATGCAGTAGTTTTCAAGTTAATAGCTACCTTTTACATTTTTAGTTCAGCTGAAATTGGCAATTCCAACCTAAATATGCAGGATTTCTGTGTTCTCCATGTGTGAATGAGAATAAAACACTCCAGGTATATTTTTGATGAGTTTATAACATTATAACCTAGATCAAAAATAGTGCAATGTAAGGCCTTGTAATGTGTGGATGTATTAAGTGTTCATTACTGCTCTCTTGCCTCCACAGTCTCATCCCGGTATACCCTGGGGACTCCTCAGCTCCCATCCGCACAGCCAAAGCCGAGCGCAGACACCAGGACCGGCTCCGCATGCAGAGCCCCGAGCTGGCTGTGGCCCAGGATAAAGACCTGTCCCCAGCTGAAAAACGTGCTCTTGAGGCAGAGAAGAGGGCCATGTGGAGAGCTGCACGGTACATACAACACTGAACCATCTCTTCTATGTTATTACACCTGTGCATTTCTTATAATATTGTGTTAATATCAAGTTCTAGTGCCATCCAAAAGTACCACTGACTAGTCTGTGGGTAACCATTGTGTTTGACATCTCCGTCCTCTTTCCTGCTGTTTCCATGTGTTAAAGATGTTCTTGATTGTGTTTACTCCTTGGTTTTCTTCTCTTCTCCTGGTGCCTCTCCTCACCTTCTCTCTCCTCCCTGTATGATGTGCTGTCCTCTGTGCGGCCGTGGGGCGTAGGCCGTATGAACTAGAGGAGGATGTTAGGCAGTATGAGCAGGACTTGGCTAAGCGACTGTACCAGGCGCGTGTGAGGGCCTCTCAGGGCTCTGCTGCTCCCCAGCCCCCTGCCTCCTGCTCCTCTGCGGCCCCTCAGCTCAGGTCTGCCCTAGGCCCGGAGCCCTGCATTGTGACCGTGTGCTCGGGTGCTTTGGCATTTGGGGATTTTGCTTTTTTGACATAGAAAGGCCAAAGCACTGGTATCTCTGTGACAGTGCTTCAAGTGCCTTTCTCGCATTGGCCTGCTGCTGCTGCACGTCTCCGCTCTCATTCCCAGCTCCTCTCAGCCCTGCTGTGTTATCCATTATCTAGTACACTTCAAATGTTCATGCCATGATTTAAGCCACCATCAGTCGTACTAACAGCCTGCAGTCTGTTTGCAAGCTGCAAGTCAAGACTTCAGTAAACCTACTACAGTAGGTAGTCCTTTTCCTGGGTTACTTTTAGTAAACCAGGACAAGGACCCGTCATGAACGTAGTGACCGGTAACACACCCATCTCTGGGCTCTGTGCCCATGTCGGCTTTATGCTAGCTTTAGCCACCTTCTGTGTGTCATTCTGACATATATCTGACCTTTGACCCTCTCTTCTGTAGAATGAAGTCTTTGGAGCAGGATGCATTGAAAGCTCAAATGGTCATTGCCAAGTCTCGTGATGGGAAGAAACGTGGCACATTGGATCAGCTGACTGAATCACCATCTCCTGCCCCTACGCCCTCTCCCACCCCCATCGAAGGTAAAGCCCCACCTCATGTTTACAAACAAGACCCCTGAAGGATTCAGTGCATAGATATGTTTTACATGTCATTTCCTCAACAGATGTGAGTCCACGAAGTGTAACCTCACCAGGCCGACTGGTAAGTCCCTTTTCTGCATCTCCTTCCACTAAAGCTGGAGCACTGGTCACACATTTCACTTTCAGGAACATTCTATGTAAATAGACCAAAGGACTGTTGGAGACTTGGGACGTGCTGTTTGCTTGAGCACACTGATATTCATGAAAACTCATCTTTCAGTGTCACCATAGAGCTGAGACCATCATGTGCCACAGTGCCTTTGTATCCATTACTCTCTCCTGCTGTCCCACCTCCTCCTCTGTCCCCCTATTGACAGTTTTTATTTCTACTCCTTACTCCTCCCTCTCTTCTGCCCATCCCTCCATCACCGCTCATCCCTTTTTGCTATCCTTCTAGTCCCTGTCGTCAAAGAAGTTTGACTACCGACAGTTCGCTGCCATTCCTTCTTCCAAACCCGTTTACGACATTCAGGTATTGGTTGCATGTTGAGCTCCAGGACCTGGGCTCGTCCTTGGCCTCCCTCACTCCTCCCCCTGAGTGTGTCCTCTAATCAGGAGGCCTCCGCGTGGCTGTAGTGTAACTACTGTGTAACTGCAGTGTAGAGCAAATGATTAATAAGGACCCTGGTCGATGGTGGTGGGGTTCACTAACTTAACTCCAAAATTATGCCCGGTTTGACTTGTCCTCTACTTACATCTATGCAGACAAAGCATATTTTGAAATGATTATGCTAACTGTGACTAACTAATGACTTAGTTCCGCGTACAGCTACGATTGTATGCCACTAACATGACATGGGATTACATACAAAATAGTCATGTTTGGGTATTGTTAGATATGAAAAGCCCCAGTACCTGAATCAGTATTGGAACTGAAAAACTAAATCCTTAGTAGTACAGTAGGTATGTTTACCAAATTTGTTGTAAGTTGTACCTTGTTATTTCTCCTAAGCAAGCATAAGCAAACATTGTCCGTCAACATTGTCATTTTGTAAGCACTGAACACATTGTTCCCAAAATTATGAGATGGTGAAAGAGTCTATCACGACTTGCAATGTAAATGTTCATGCCAAAGAAAAAAAGACTGTAATGCAATATAATTATGACTGTATTAGGAATGAAGCCAAAATGACATATAGCCTATACCAATACCAAACTGTTAATTCTTGTATTCTGTGAATGGATGTCACTGCCCACTAATATGTAATACGTGTTTGCATGTGTGCATAGACAGTGGGCTGGGCTGGGGTACTGTGCCGTGCCCTTGTGACTCTGGTTGAGCTGCTTCGCTATGTCTATGTGGATACGCATCTCTTTGCCACATTCCTGGATCTGATGCTCTTGACCTTTTAACCCCCTCTTTCTTTAACATGCCAATCTCTGCAGTAGTTGTGGAGGTGACCCATGGGAGCTTTGGCAGTACAGGGCTGGCGTGGTGGTGGCGTGGTACCTTGTAGCCTTCCTCAGCGTTCCACTTATTGACTATTTTCTGTTCCAGACTCCTGAAGCGGTTGACGACATGCAGTTCAATGATGGTTCTCATAACACAGGTGAGTAACTGTAAATGTACAGTTTGACGGAGTATATGTTGCGTTCATGACAATGTAGTTTACCGCTGAATTTCAGCTGGAGGGCAAGGGCTTGTATAATTGTATGACCTTTTCACTATTTTTTAAAGAAATACCCAAAGAGTAAATCCTCAAATGTTGATTCTTCTGCCACAAGGTTTGATTATTGTCAGTTGAAAGGAATTCAAATGTAGTTCAATGATGTCACCACTTCTTAATCATATATTTTTTTCATTGGTATTGAACTTGTATTGGACAGTTTTTGTTTCATGTGAATAGATCTAGTTGTTGTAACAGTAGTATTCTGGACACTGTTTTTGCAATCGTGATGTTTCAGCTCACATCCAGTAGCCATTTTCCATGATCACAGTTGGAAACCTTCTCTACATTGAAGCACTCCTGGAGGAATGAGAGTCACACAGGCCAAAAGCATCTGCGTTTAGACCTTTACTGGGCAAATTCTACCATTTAAATGTGACTTCTCCTCCAGCTCTTTATTAAAGTATTGGGTCTTTAGAATATTAAGATAGTTTTCATGTGAACCAGCCTATTGTACAAGCTCAGGGACATGCCGGTTTCATCAGTACATTAAGGTCTGAGCCAAACTTGACACTTGTTTCCCTTGACTTCAGGAGAATACCTGGGATAAGCAGCACCTGTTGGTAGGATTCTGTGTGTCTCTGTGTGTGCTGGCTACAACACTTTAACCTGCTTGATGCGTGGTCCATATTGTAGAGACAGGGGTCTATTTAAAGATATTAACTCTGATCTGCATTGCATGGATTAGTAAATAGGGGCAGATTACAATTAATTATGGTAAACATATTGTTAAATGAAATAGTTTGATAAAAGAATTCAAATTTTATTTTTACTTTAATCACAGTAGTAGCCATTGTTATAGGTGTGGTGTTCAGGGTTACTGGGCGAGTAATGGAACATGCTACTAACAGGTTCGCATCATTAAAATGGAATATAATGGACAGTAGAATGATTTTAGGAGTTCAATTCAAAAAACCAAATGCGTGTGAAGTGAAATACATGAATGATACAGTATCTGTGTACATCTATTGTACTGATTATGAAACACTTCAGTGTGTGAGTCTATTGAATAATAAAACAATAAAGGTGAATTTTAATCAATGTTACTTTGAATTGAACTACTAAAGAAGCTACTTAACTAAACTTAAATATTCTAATTTACTGATTTGTGTGCCTGTATTCCTTGCTTGGTGCAGCTGCCTTTCTCACTTGGTTGAGGGCCACCGCTGTGTTGCCGCCAGTGCTAAATCTTTTCCAGCTCCTTTATGAGAAGTGTCACCATTTCCCTGAATAATTCCCTTGTTTACCTTTGCCTTTCAGCGCCTGTTGCCAGCCCAGAGGCAGACCTCACGGTGCCTCTGCCCACAACCTCGGCCCTGGAGGAGATGGCCCTCTACAGCAACAAGCGCAAACTGAGACAGGGCCGTCGCAGCCTGGAGACCGCTGTGCCCACATAACAGCAAATCAGCACCAAATCCACCGGGCTGCAAAACCCTGTGGAACACCGGTGTACCCACGAGAGGTGTATGCCCCCTCAACACTAGACCCTGTGTCAGTAGAGCTACCATTCACTGCACAAACTCACTGACACCCTCTATCCTGCGTGCCAGCCTTGCCTTTCACAGTCTACGGACATTGGACAAGAGGAGGCAAGCGTGGTTAGCCTAGTGTGGTTAGCCTAGCGTTTAGTGTGCTTTAGAAGTATCCGACATGGCCGATTGTTTTTTAGTTTTGTTATTATTTACATATTTTGCACCTCAAAAATATATATACTGGAAACAAAAAGATATGGGTCCTTCTAGCTGTACTAACATGCTGAAATATATTTTTAGACTTTGAATAGATTGTAAATGTTAATGGTTTGAGTTGAAAAGGAGTGTATATATTGATTGGGAACAGCCTGCTACCTTCGCGGCCACAACTGTAGATTGATTTTTTTAAAGAATGGGACATATCACGTTTGCACTGCCACTGTTCTGCTTTTTAAAATGCATATCTCTGTGTAATTTATTGTTTTAAAAAAAATAATGACATCTACTTCCAAGACATTTAACAATATAAAACTTTTTTAATATCTATGAGAAAACTATGACCATATGTGATGATCAAATCCATTTCATATACTGACTGTGTTACATTCCCCGTTGTAGAGAGCACAGCAGCAAAAAGTGAAATCTATATTAATCAATGGTACTTGTTTTTCATGCACATTTTAGTTTTTGTCTCTTTGCATCCCGAGTTTTAGAGTGACGTGAAGGTAGCAGTTCCTATATTTTTCTGTCTTGAGTAATTTAAATGATGCCACTGAAATCATTTATTATTGTGTGAATAATGTACAAATATTGAAAGTATAGTGAACTTTGGGTGTGCAACTGAGCCAGTCTTGACCATGACTATAGGCCGGACTGCTGACTTGGGGCTGGGGGCTCTCTGCATGTTTGATGATTGCAAATGGGAGAGCTAAGAGAGGCCCGCCCAAGTTTAAAAATCTCTCTATCAAGACAGATTTTCCATCAGAATCAAAGCTTGTGTTAATAATTTAATGTTGAATTTTAGTTTTTCATGTTGCTCTAATTGACTGAAATTCAGTTTGTCAGATAACATTTGTGATGGCTTTTTTTAACTTACAGTAGTTATTTTTTCATCCGGGTTTCACTTCAGTAATAATGCAGTGTTTTTAAGTCTGTTTTCCTTTGTCTAATCTTTGGGGGCTGTAACCTGCAGATGGATCGATGGTAAAGGGTTCGAGCTCACACAAGACTGTAACTAGTGAATTTGTACAACCAAAGAAGTCTATTTTGTGGTTCAGGAATAATAAATTTTACTTTTCATTTAAGAGGAACTGTTGTCTTCTCGTTTTTCTCATAAACATACAACAACAAAGGAACAACATTATTGATATTTGACTTTAAAAATAGTGACCTCGACATCACTACAGTTTTTTCTCATAAATGGACCTTGATATCAAACAGTAAGGGGACTGCAAACACTAACGAGCTCCACCCACTGTCCATAGTTAAATGACTTTGAAATATGTTTAATAAAACTGTTCATCATGAGGGCACATGTGGCTGTAAGTGTGGTTGGATTATATTTGGTCCTGTCAATCTCTGAATATTCTACAGTTCCAGCAATGGTAATGTTCCGTTTGGATTTGAGAAATGATTATATTCACAACTTAAGCTAACTACTGTTTAACAATTGTACTTTCAGCGTAGTAGATGTTTTCCAAATGGCAGTAAGGTATTATTTTTATATTTTATTTGTAAGTATATGGCTTCACATTAGTCATAATCATGACTCTTAATGCTGTAACCGTTTGCCTTTTAGCAGTCTTCGCTAGGCTGCATAACTGTAATGGAAAATGAAGAGGACTTTGGACTAACAAACGGTTCCACAAGTGCCTCCGTTCAGAACAATAAAGTAAGATAATAATGAACGAATTTAGGCTCTGCACAATTTAACGCAAAATCAGAAGATCTGAGTGTCGCTGTTTTCCTGCTAGTTACGTGATTTTCACTTCAAAACTATAATCCATGTAAGGCTCTGTCTTGTATTGATTTTTTATTTTTATTTTTTAATTACAGTGTTATTGTAGACTACGCGTAATTTTGTGGCTTTGTTCCAATAAAAGGCGCCCTCTAGAGGTCAGATTCGATCACTGCTCTCACAGGATTGATAATTGAACTTACTATCTTGCAGACAGAAGAAATACATTTGAGCGAAACCACTGAGGTTTTACAAGCTAATGGAACCACGGTAAGCTGACACACAAACTCATGTCCATATTCTTCTACTATCTCATAGTTGTGGGCAGTTGTGGGCTGTTGTGGCAGTAGACAGTGATTGGAAGAATACTTTGAAAATGTATTTAGTTAAAAAATCCTACCCAAATAAAAATGTATTTTGTAAGGTCCAATCAGAGTACTGTATTCTGAATACTTCGAATACTTTTCATTACCCCAGAAGACAGAACGAGATCCTCAACCCTTCTCAGCTAGCTGTTTTCTATGAGGAGGAGCAGCAGCTCTAGTACAAGTCTAAACTCCTCCTCATGCAGCTCAGGAAGATGTGGAGCTCACCTTGAAGGAAATCGAAGGGAACTCTTCAAATATCCAGTATCTTGTAGTTTCTGTCATGAGTCATGGCCTAACTTTGCAGAATGAAGAAAGGTAAATTGACAAATACATAGCATTGTTCCACAGCTCATTCATCATCAACAGTACATCAATCAATCAATCAATCTTTATTTATAAAGCGCTTTTCATACAAAAAATTTACACAGAGTGCTTTACAGTGATTAAAAACAATCCTACATTTCCATCCAGCCACCCACCAACTCAACCCCCACAGCTGCCCGACCCCACAGAACCAAACAACCAGACACACACGCACAGACATGCACACACACACTAACATGCTAAAATACATAAAACCACACATAGTAAAATGTGAGGCTGAATACAGGCGAACCAGCTGAGAAAGCACCATTAGAGGAGCCGTCTACATCAGGAGCAGAGAGACGTCCACCATCACCAGGAATCACCACGGGGCCCAGGGGAGAGATGAGGCCCAAGCACCAACCCTCCACCAGGAGCCCACAGGACAGACCCCGGTAGCCACAGGCGACCTCTACTCCTGATGCAGAGGGCTCCTACATGTCTGCTATAGTCTTACACAGTTACAAGAATACAGCAGAAGTGTAATATGTCAGTCACTCATTGCACACCACACCTCATTCTTATTCACCATAATGAAACTTCTGCACTAGATACTCACCAGAGGGCACAACTTTTTCTGCGGGCTGTGCCATAAAAGTGGCCATAAGTCAGTTTGAGGTCTTATTGTGATCTCATTTCAGTTTTTGTTTCCAATCTTTCCACTGTGAATGAGCCACAAGAGTCATGGTGACTCATGGTTCATGGAGCCAACATGACGATAAGATGACACAAACAGATGAGACAAACTCGTCCACAGAAGCCTGGCTTAATTTGGGGTTTGAATGTGGAGGGGCTGATCTCTCTCTCAACAGCTGCACATGGAGCACACTGAGGACCCTGGGCCAAACACCTCGCCAAGGCCTTTAAAATAAATAATATAACAAAGATGCAGAGGCAAGACCTTAAAGTAGACAGATGAGTTTGTCTAAATATCTCCCATTTGACTGTACTTGTATGAAGGACTAAATGTAGTCAGAATAGAGACTGGGGTCCAGGGCCCAGGAGTAAGCAAACAGCCAGTGTCTGTATAAAGTAGAATCTTGTGTTCTTTTCATCAGACAGAACAAGCCACAGCACTGCCCCAAACCAGAGCCAAACCCGCACCCGCTCGCATGTGAGTGTTCAGCCCAAATATTTGAATATTACTACTGTGTATACAGCATTGTAGGAAATGAGTGTAATAAACAATATTTTTAGTGTGTTGTCACAGGAGTGACAGGATTTCTGGCTTTGGTGCAGCAGCAAGTGAAAGGAGTGAAAACAAAAGTAAGAAAATGACACAATAGTATATAATAGTATATATGAGAATGTTTCACCAATTATGTGTTGTTTTTTTTTAGCAAAGAAGATCAGTGGAGTTGGAGTGGAGTGGATTTTAATTTTTGGTCTGTAAATACATTTCGTTAAAGGCCTGATGTTGCATTGTTCTTTTCCTACATTTAGAATGTGTATAATCTTTACTGTTAGCATTAGTATAGATACCGTTCCCATGTAATTGGTTTAGCTGACTTGGCTGTGATAATGGAGTCTATAGGCTCAGTCTGATCTTTATGCTGTGTTTGTTCTCAGATATGGTTTTGACACACTTTACTTGAAGCATTCCATTTAATTTATATTCTATAAAATTTAGCCAGTCACTTCTATTCACAAGGATCACTTTATTATTTAGGTTAGGCTCATCTTTTATTACAAATGTTTCTATTTCACTCATCAGGTTCAAACACTCCTGACTAATTGATGGACAGAACGAAAAGACAGAACAAATCCAGTTATCTTTTGAGACCACATGTCATGTTAAGTGTTTGGGCATGGATTGAATTCATTGCATAAACTGTTTTACCTGTGCACAACTGCATAAAAGAATGAGGGCAACGTGAGCTGAGAAATGTAAAAACAAGAAAACACAGATGTGTGTGAGTGGGGTATGAGCTGATAAAAAGTAGCAGAGCACTCTTCCTCGAGAATGTCCATGTCCAGCTGGTATCAAAGCACAAAGTCCTGGTTAGAGTAATGCTGCCAGTTGAAAGAAGCTGTGCATGAGACGGTTACATGGAATCAGAAGGAGCGACAACACAAAATTAGTGAACTAATTTTTTCCTTTTCATTTTCACTAAGTGATGAGATTCAAAGACAGCAAGCACAAATCTCTCCAGATGACAAAGCAATAAGGCCACTTTATATAGAAACTTATTGTCCATTAGGTGCCATCATTTTGAAAGAAAACAAGTTTCTGTATTTAGAGCCAGCTTGTATATAGGGCCTGTGTTAACCCTTTCGCCACCACAGCAAAGGAAAATGGTAACAAAAGCTCAGTCCACATAGGGCGAAGTACACGCCCACTCCCAAAGCCCCAACCACAACTCAAACCCCCCATTATATCATGTGCGAGATCAGGTTAGAACCATCTTGGAAAAAATAGACATTTTTACAGAAGTTTGTAAAATCATCTCCTAAAGTCACTTCAGTCGCCTGTTGCTTCAGCAAAGCGAGTTGGAGTCCAGAGAGAAGTTTGGTCGCACGACTTCAGCTCTGAGCACGAGCCATAGGACAACTGTGCTGTCAGTTCAGAGTGCTGCAGTGTCAATTTCTTTGCTTGTACTCCGCTTCATCAGCCCCATCAGATGCAGTCCACTGTTAGCCAACCAAAGGAGTTGAATATGTTAGGAGTCTTTGTAAAGAGAATGGGTGGACCACATTGATATTGCTCTGTGTATGTATTTTGTATGAAGTAATGATGGTGGTGGCATGAGCTCTGCTGTGGCTGCAGTCCTCCTCTGCAGTCCGCTTCCTTCCACGGGCTGGCAGAACCGTGCTGGAGGGGCCAGGGCATGGAGGGGTCTACTTATCCCCCAGGATGGCATACTGGTTATCCAGCTGCAAGTGCTGTATAGAAGCTCCCCCTGCATCATCTCTACCACGGGTTCTGTGTTTGACAACCTCAAAGGTCTTCTCCATCTCTCGGTCTCTACAACACAAAGAGCACACATCACAACTTGATGAAGACTTAAAATGTTTGGTTGAATTTGCAGTCTCTGTGCTTCACATGTCTTCGTGTAGAGAAGCAGTATGTAGTGTGTATTTGACTTGTGACTTACTTGCGTGTTTCCACATGCTTGGCAGTGGCCAGGAGAGAGGGGAACTGTGTGTCACTGAAGATCTCAGGGGGGCCCTGGTTAGTGCTTCTTTTGGCAGTGGGCAGTCTGGCCCCAGGGGGCCGATATACTCCAGCAGGTTTTGTTTCGGGAACCTCTTCATCATCTACAATTACATTACATAAGTTAAATTACATAAATCTACATATAACTGTTGACTTTACTTCACAAATCTGGTCTGATCTTTTCTGTGACTTACCCACAGGGGCTGTAGGAGCCGGGGCACCACTGGACTTGTTCCAAGGTCCTGACACTTTGTCTCCACTGACAAGGATCATCTCTCCATCCTCTCCCACCTCCTCTTTCTCATACTCTTCTTCTTCTTTTTCATCACTGTTTGCAAACAAAGTGATACTACTGAGCAACACTGACACAATAACTTATAATATACTTGAGTAGAAAAAAGTACAATTTTTTTTTTGCAATAACTTTAGAACATTTGTAAGATTCACTTACGTTATCTGTAAAGCCTGCAGCCGAAGCCCACTGTAGTCCACTTCTTTTTGCTCAAACTCCTTCCACTCTTCATCCTCCTACATAAACCACAAAACAGTTTATTAGACCTTAAAAAAATTAAACAAAGGGATAAGCCAACATTTGTCACACCCAATGTATTGCTGGTGGGTATTTCAAACTGCTGTTATAAATATACATATGAGTAAGATATACATATATGCCATTTAAATCCATCCCGACATCATAACTTTAAACAGTACATTGTGCATGCTCTAAAGACTTTTCAATCACACTTGACAAATGGCGACGAGGCCTGGTTAAAAAGGCCACATACAGAATGTCTCGTGTGCTCCCAAATTCCGCGTGTAGCTATGATCCTTTGTAAATATGAGAATAACATGTATCAACTTTATAAAAAATTACGAACAGAACAATCAAAAAAGCAAATACATCTACTTTACTTGACGTAAACTGTTAATGCTATACACTTCGGGGTGGACCATATGCTACAAACGAGCCGGCATTTCTGCTTCACAACAAACGTGGCATGGCCAGAGAGCTGACAGCCTGCGGTTACAGTCAATCCAGGGCAGAGCTACAACAAGTGTTTGGAAACTAACTAATCGTCTGTACAAACTCAAGTCAGGACGACAAAGTTATTCAACACCAGACTAGCCCCGTTTACCTTCTCAATCTGAGTGTCCTGGTTGTCATTTTTCGCGGACTTTTCCTTCTCTTTTTTAGTCTTTTTCAGCACCATTGTGGTAGGTGCCGCAGTGGTTTCCTTGCCCTTTCCCTTCTCTTTCTTCTTCTTTTTATCTCGTTTGGCAAAGAAATCATCCAGACTCTTCTCAGTCGGTACATCCGCCATTTTCGACGAGCAGCGTTGACTAGTTCACTAATGACCAATGACAAAATAGGAAATAAGATCCACACGGTTAGGCCAGCGGCTCAAACACAAAGATCACACGGATTTATGTGTCTCTCTGACAGTTTACTGAGTGTTGATCCCTGATAAAAACGACCACCGGGCCCCTGGGCTAAAGCACGAGCCGTATCCTGTCAACCATGCCATGCACACGGGCTATCTGACAAATCTGCACCGTGACCCGGAAACACACGCACCCCGACCCGGACATGCTACTGCTACAAAGTAAAAGGCTTTTTACTATAATAAAAACTTGTATTATAGTTTTATTTTATGTTATTATATATTATAATATAATACATTTTATATCATATATTTTGTTATAGTTCTTGTTTTTCCCACTGACAGTTAACTTTTTCAGTGAATTAATTGTTAATCTATAAATCTATAAATAAAAAATAGGTTAAAAAATTTTTAAAATAAGAAATAGTAAAAATATGCTCTATGGTCAAACATACATCTTTAGCCTTGTTTTTGTTGAATTGTTTCTCCAAGAAACATCGGCTAAATTCATTCGATGGTATTTGTTGAACTCTGTGTAGCCTATACAGAAAAAATAATATCATTTTTGAATTTTTTGTGTGCAGATGAATCGTTGTTGAGGATCTAAATAAATAGACAACACGACCTGGTATAGCAGCGAGAATAGCCTTTTATTTAAATCACACATGATAAGACCATGTGCATGTGATATTTTTGGATCTATTTAATACTATTGAACAAATGTATTTATATAGTGTAAATCAAATGTTCAACTTTATTAGGCTATTATTTATTTATAAAGTATACTTGAAAACATTTGCCTGATGTCAGTCTCCCATAGCTGCTAGTCAGCGCTGGTACAAAGAGAAAATGCCAGCTCACCCAATCAATGGATGTGCTGGAGTTGGCAAGAAATGTTTCCCTCCTTTGTGACTACTGAGTCTGTCTGAGTGTGAACATTCAATAACAAAAACAGGGTACATTTTTATAAGGTTTATTGCTCTGCAGTAAAAAGTACAGTGTATACTACAGTACAAAAATACATACATGTAACACTCTCCACCGTGCCATCAAACATCTGTAAAATATGTATTTTTGAGCGTGCAAAACAAGCTCAGCCATGTGTCCACTGCAGGATTGGATCGTGTTTTACAGCATTACTTTCATAACCACAGGTGAACAACATCTTCTTTTAGCAAGCATCTGCATTGATTATTATGAGACATTGTGAATGAAAGAAATGACAGAAGACCACTGACTCCATCACTGAATGTTAAGCACCTCTGAATGTGCTCATGTAGTGCTCATGTAATTATATTCAGCTTTTTTTTTATGGGAGGGTCTGTGAATGAATTACTGCCACAAACATTTGCACAGGAGACACTGAACAGTACTAACATTATTTTCAAAATCCATCTGGGTCTAATGCCACTCCACAACATAGACATTTGACCCACCAGAAGACACACACACAGCAGCACACACACAAAACAAAACAAAAACAAAATCATGGCTGACCAGACATAACACTGATATTGTAAAGGACAGACAGGACACCGGTAAACAAAGAAATGGCATCTATGCGGTCTCTGGGCAGAGCGCTGTTGCACTAAACATCTTTAAAGTATTTTATATTTAGGCTATAATTAAGAAAAAATATATATTAAAGATTGTGTGGTTTAGATTAAGAACAGGCTACCCATAACCTAATTTAATGTCCTCACAGTAATGTATCTATAGCACAAATACAGTGGATTATGACTTTGTTTCATGGTCCATCTTGGTTTTGCCCTCTCCAAATAAACAGAAAGCATACTCTACAACAGTTGTATATAATAAAAAGAATAGCCATGAACCCTTAAGCAGCTTTGTACAACAGCGCTCTGGTGACTCATGTTCATACTTCACAGACACTGTTACTTCAAACTGATTGCATTGACCATTTTCGGCACAAGCCCACAACCTATAGGTGCTAAATATTCAAGTTGAACAGGCTATATAAGTATTTTGGGATTACTTTTAAAGGACAAGCTATCGTGTTATCATTGCAACCATTCACAGCCACTCAAACCACTTACAGCAGTTATAAAGACATATAAACCTTTATCACAATTAAGCCTCTTGTAGAAATTGTACATCAGAAAAATAAGACGCTGCATCCTTATAGGAAATACATATGTTTACATGACTTTTTCTCTTCTCTGGTCTTCTTTTTACATCTGGAGTATAAAGTCAAGTCTCTGGAGAGTTACATACAGTAAAGAGTATATAAAATAGCCACAACAGTAGGTTATTATGGATAGGACTGTCTCTAGATGGCAGAAGCCTTGTCTCGGTTGATAAACAGAGTCTCTTGACAGAAAGGGTTGACCAGGACCATGCTGCTGCCGCTGTAGTCACCATTAGGGGGCAGGTAAGCATCATGTTCCTGAAAAAGACATAAAGTGTGGAAGTACATATTAGTATGGACCTCAACAGTGACTGCCCATCTGCAGTTCTGTAACAAAATTTCTCATTCATTTGTCCCACTGACTTTATATTAAAAGTTTGAAAGCTTGCTCAGAGCTAATCAGCTATGTGGTAATTAATGACCCAAAGACCTACATGTTTCTGAAACGTTATAGATACTTGCCTTTTGCCTTGCATTATTGAGATTAGTTACCATGTAGCTGGTTAGCCTCTGCAGTGCATTTGAACTCTTAATATTTGAAATTTTCACAACATCTATGGGAAAAATGAATGAAAAATGTACTCTCGGAACTGGAGCAGTTCACTGTTGAGCACCATACATACAAGAATTTGAGACTAGTGACTCTAGGAGGTGGGGTTTAAAAAAAAAAAAAAATCAAATTATTATTTTTTTAGATTACAGTTAGATGTGCAGTTTAAGTTGAAAATATAGGATTTTGTTGAGAGTGTTTATTGTAGACAGCTCCAGGAAAACTGATATGATATGATATGATATAATTACAATATATTGTGCAGGCCTAGTGCACAATGTGTTACTCAAACAGAAGTTATTGTTTTTGATTTGTGCATAGATTTTATATTTGGTAAATGTTACTAATAGTCAAACTATTAATTGAGCCATGGTAGAAACTGTTAGAAATTGAGGTGGATCATTCTAACTGGAAGATGAATAAAGAGAAGAATGACCCTGTAATGAGTCCAGATTTGAGTTTCATTATCGACAGTGGAATACCAATGTCCGCCACAAGAGGTCAGTAAAGGACCAAACATTTCTTTAACGTTGAGAGAAAGGCTGCCCCATACAGTCAAGTCTAGCTCATATGAAGACTGACAGTTGACAACAAAATGAACGGCTGTATTTTTTAGGTTTGTAGCTTGATTTATTTGAAATACTCCTTATTGAGAAAAGTACAGTTTTAGTATCATTATTATCATTATTATTATTATTATTTGCGAATATATAATTGGCCAGTCGTATGCACTATATTCATCAAATTGTAAGCTATACATTTTTCATTGTCTTTTCTTTATATGGGGCTGCTCTATTCATGTCTGGTCTTAAGTAACATAATTCATTCTTTGCCATTACTGCGCACACTGCAGTCTCCTAAGTGGCTCTGGGCGGTGACTGTGCAGTGTGAGGAAACTGGTGCACCTCAGGGCTTTTAAGAAGAGAGGGGACAATTTGTGACAAAGCTAGGTGTGCAGAAACAGAAAGGAATAGAGAATTGGGAAGGGATGACTCAGGAGAGAGTAGAACCGGGGACTTAATGGGCGAGCGAGTGGTGAGTCAGCAGGAGTGGTGAGAGAGGAGGGAGGTGTGAGTGCCAAAAAGGAGAGAGAGGGTAGATAGTGATTTGGGATTTTCACATTTTACTATTATAGTAGATCTCTATTGGGGTGGACACAACAGTGAAACAACCTGGGCATCACCAAGGGCATCCTACACAAGCTCCGACCTCAGCCTCCCTCTCCTGACGAAGGCAAAATGCAAGAAAAATGTAATGGGGAAAGAACATAGAACATGCATATATCAGAATAAAGAAGGATGAGAAGTTTATAGGGTTCATGTAAAGTGTCTCTCCAGAAGACGGCGCAACAGTGCATTAACAGCCATGGCACAAAGGAAGAGTTAAGTTAAAAATGGTGAAACTAAATATTACAGGTGAAAGTTTATATGATTAGTATTTTACAATACAAATCATTGAATTCCTTCAAGAATTACTGATTAATTAGGACCAAATTCATTTAGAATGTTTACAATATACAACTATACCAAATTGTTTATTATTTCTCTCCACAGATCTGACCTGTAACTTTGCCTAGGGATGTCAGATGCAGTTTCAGAGACTAACAGATGGTTGACCCTCCACCAGAAAGGTTGCACTGTAAAACTTTAAATTCTAAATCCGTAGACATGTATATAATGTTAAAGCATGTGCACCTCGCTCTCCAGGGTGTGGATCTCTCGGGGCAGCTCCACGGCGTGGCGGCTGAAATAGTCCATAGTGATGGCGTTGTTCCAGTAGCTCAGGTTGTTCTCCTGATTAGTCGACTTCTTCTTCCTCCTCATACAGCACACAGTCAGCAGTACAGCTACAGGAGGAGACAGGGCTTAGTGGAGACTCTAAAATAGACATGCATTGCATTCACAGAGAAGACTTATTTTTTCCCTCTAACGTCCTCTGCTGAAAAAAGACACAGTTAATTATGGAAACAAACACTGTGAAGGCAATTCAAGCTCTGATATGATGTGAACACATATTATGCTTTTTTGTATTGCTGTTGAGCTTTAAACATACTCTTGAGTGGAATCTCAGGTTTTCAAACTTAAAATGACCATGTATAGTAGAAACTGATGTAAGGTTTCATCTACTGGAAGCAGAGGGAATTAGCATGAAGAAAAAACATGTTACATATTTAAGGAACATGTCCCATCATGTTAATATAAGCGTGTAGTTGTAATAAACAGGATTTGATAGCAGAAATGCTTAGAAAGAGTCTAATGGTCTCTACCTGTGATGCAACAATCAAAATGGAAAAGTGTTTTGTAATGGCTCTGCGAACTTACTGCACAATGTTATAATAAGGTTAAAAGCTCATAAATAAATTTTGTTTTTTCAGGAGAAGAACTTTATACATTCGTTTTTTTGTTGTTTTTTTTTAAGATTTTATCCCAAACTGTTCCAAACTATTTCACCATCTTTTCCATACTTACAGCATGAGGACACAGGCACACTGATGGCTAACACGATCCACACTATGTCCATGCGGCTCAGGCACACCATCATCTGGGAGGGAGGGGTGTGCGTGGTGGGACCTGAGCTGTTAGCTGACATCCAAGGATCCTGCGTGGTGGCCGGAACCTGCCTGTTCAGAAAGTTCCCTCTGGCCGTGGACTCAAACTCCGAAGCATTTGCCTTAGCTTCACTGGAGCTGACATTGGACAGCTGAAGCCCACCTAAAGCAGTCACATTCACCATCCAGTGTCCTAGTGGGGCATTGTCCGAGATGTTAACATGACTGTTACCCTCCTCCGTTGTGGTCTCAGTAATATTAAAGTTTGAACTGTCTGTGTTGATTTTGACAGTAGTGGAAAATGTTGTGGATTGTACATGGTCATCTATGGGAGAACTAGAGCTTGGTTGCAGTACTAGTTCGTTAGTAGGAGGTTCAGTATCTGTGTGCACCTCCCTTAGCGTAATGGCGTGATGGTCTGACCTTCTGGGGCCATCCTGAGTGTGGCCTCTACGTCTAAGGCCTAGTGCAATGTTTTGATTTTTGAACGTCGTAAGTTCTGGGCCTATCAAATTTCCACCTTCCAACCCACTGATACTATTCTTTGTGTCTGAATTTGGAACATCTTGAGTGGTTTCTTTGGGGGTGTAACTTTGCGTGACATGGAGCCAAGGTAACGGTTGGAGTGCAGGTGCAGGTGGGGTGAGCGTTGGATGGGAGAGGCCAGAGGAAGACCACTCTCCACTGCTAGAGCCCTCTTGTGGCCAGTCTGGGCGGTGCTGCTGGTGATGGGTCACTGCCATGGTGATGGAGTCGTCCTGGGCTGATGATACCGGTCCCACTGGCAGCGCGAGGAAGGCAAGGACACCTGTACACAAACACAGGAGGTAAATATACACGGGTGAGTAGTACACAGTGATGGGAAGAATACTTTGTATTGTGTAATATATTAAAATGTAATACTGAATAGCTGCAATGTATTTTGCAGTGTATGTCTGTTACATGGTCCAATCAGAGTACTGAATTTTGAATACTTTGAATTTCACATCAAGTTCCATTTAAACTAAGGTGCAGTTATGCATTTATTTATCACTAATTGAAGAAGGAAAACTCATATAGACTCCCTACAAGAGCCGTGTTTTATATTTTTCTGTGTGATCAAGTACTTCCATTTATTCCTTTGATTTTAGAAAAGTAACTGTATTTTGAATACCACCAAATGAAAAAGTACCTGTACCTGACTAAAGTTACTCAAAGTTAGTATTCTGAATACATAATCTCTGTATTCAGGTACTTCCCAACACTCATAGTATGTTATAATGTCTGAAAAATCCATCTCAAATAAATCCCAAGTATGAAAATATTTATAAAGATTTTTGCATCTTTTTACTGACTTCCCTTCCCAAAGAGCACCACTGAGTTGGATCTACTGCATATTGTCCTCTGGAGGTCCAGGAAGCACTTCTTTTGAAACCTTTTTTATATGAAAAGATTTATGTTGAGATTGTGAACTCATTTGAACATTAGTATAAATTTCGGAAATATTTGATCTCTTACTTGTGTATAATTCCAGGTATGTTTTTAAGGAGTTAACAGCTCAAGAATGCATTTTCATATAGGACCTTTAAGCAGCATATAGGACCTTTAAGCTAGCCAGGCTGGGGCCACCTCAATTTAATTTCTCTCCAGCGACTAGGTCAGGAATCAGAATACACTAGATGGTTTGCAAAAACTCCAGAAGTGCGAGTTCGGGCACCAGCCAATCAGTGAAGAGCCATACATTCTGTGTTGGCAACAATTCCCGGGATCGAGGATTTAAAGACGGAATTAAAAAAATGTTTGGTGAATTTTATCAAGGGGAAAGACGTTATTACCCTTCTTTCTACGGGATTTAGGAAAAGCTTAAGATACTAGTTAGCCCTGTTAGCGGCGCATTACTTACGTGACTACCAAATAGCAGTGATTGATTAAATGATTAAAAAGTACCTGTCTACCGTCGAGCGAATGAATTCTAACTCTGCGAGGTCAGACGCTTTCTATGAAGTGAAACCAACTGATGAATCAGGCTACCGTTAAGCCACCACACCTTTACAATTTCTACCAAAAGATTAATTTATTATGCGTACATTCTTGCATTAATTGTATCCTTTAAACTAACTTTCCTTCACCTAAAGTCATGCATTTTTGTTAAGCATTCATTTAGCCACCTAGCTTTTAATCTACTGGCTTTATCACTCTATTAGACTACTTTATCAACAGCACTATTCCCTATTCCCTTAACACTTCCCCTATGCGTAGCCACTACTTAGGCTGGACTGTGGAGGCCTTGATGAACTGCACTGACGGGTGCTTTCCTATTGAACTGAATGCATTTCCAAAGAGTGTCAATTTCATTGGCTAAAATATTTTCGACGTATAGTTTTTGCAATGTTCTATTTTTATGAACTAAAATGTGAGTAAAGAGTAATCATAATGAAGAGATGATTACTGACTCAAAGTGGATATTTTTTTAAAAAAAAATTAAAGTATTGATATACCACATAAGGAACACATCTGTACATGCCCCATGAAGCAATCACATACAATTTGTCATAGTTGGAATGCAAAAGAGGCCTATATATTTTCTGAGACTATTATGCTATTAACTTACTATAATTTAAAATACTATTATGATACATTTTTTTGTTAACTTATAAGTTAAGGCACTACATTACACAAAATTGACTCCTGTGAGCTTTAAGCCATGTTGATACCTCATCAAAAACATACCTGCAGTTTGCTTTTATTTGAGTAGCCTTTTATTAGTACCTTTTACCTTTTATTCAGAAGAGATTGGCAATTTCAGGTCTGAAATCATCCACACTGCAGGGTTTGTGTGTTAAACATGTGTCAATGAAACTAAACACAGCTATAGGTATGTTTTTGAGGAGGAAACAACATTATAACATAGATCAGAAAATAACATAATATAGGATTTGAAACTTGTAATAAAAATTTCTTGTCAAAATGAACACTGTTCCAAAAGTATAGGTTAAGAGATTAGGTAGTTAACATGCTGGGCTCATCTCTAGAAGCTTGCGTTGTCAGTTTCACTTGCTCTGTCTCAATCCCTTAAGGAGCCAGTGTAGTGACAGGCCATTAGCTGAAGCCTGTGGAGGGATTGGCCTATTATGTTATCAGGCCTAAGAAAGTCATACAGGGAGCAACATGCTGGAGCCTATTCATTTAGCCTATTTAGCTCACCACCTCCAGTTTGTAATGACACCACTAATGGGAAAAAGTCATTTGTTAAAGGTGCACTGTGTAACTTTTCTGGTGGAGAGTCTGTCATGTCAGTCTGGAGACCAAACCAGACCAAGTTACAGGTCAGATCTATGGAGAGGCAACTCCGCTCACAGTCAGAATGATTGTTTTTCTGGGTATTTTTGAGCTATGAAACCACCCGTAATTGAATAAATTTTAAGTCGAGCTGTTTAATGTCACACTGTGGAACATTCTGGGCAGAGCAATGACATATCCATAGAAACAAGCAGGTGACGGAGCTCCAATTAAAAAGTTACACAGTGCACCTTTAAGTCAATAACATGGTGGGTGCTCATTGCATTGCAGTTTAGGCCACTACTGGTACAGAATGCTAAAATAATCAATAGTGAAAGTATAGCTGCTAAATTATAACCACATTATAATCACATTTGAAAATCAGTGAAGGAATAATAATGAAATAGCCAAAGCAAAATGATCTGTGTTAATTTGAGTGCTAATTACATCTTCAGTGAGGGCTGGAATAGAATCACAAATAAAAAAGGACGTATGTGGCTAGATGCGTTGTAAACAAAATAAAATCTGTCCTCTGCATCTGACCCATTCTTCCATCAATGCCAGACTGTGGAACATCTCCAGCAAAGCAATAAGATCTCCATCTCCACCCCCACCCACCACCACCACCAGTAAAGTTGCACAGTGCATCTTTAAGTATATATAAGACAAATAAAAATACCGCGTTGTTGATGAAAATATGATGCTGTTACTCCCCAGTGAGCTGATGCAGTAGCCTTACTTAAAACCACTCATGTCCGCAGTAACTATGGCAACCAAACTCTATTTTCCACAAGGACCAAGAGAGAGCAAGACCCAAATCCGAGGTGAGAACAAGATCCAGAAAGCACAGCATGTTTTATACCGCTCTGAAAAGGCCACTGCGCAATATAGCTATAGGCTTCCTTCACCTCCTGCACTGTCTGGTCCCATTCAAAAAGTCAGCCTGTGAATCTTTAAGCATCTCTTATTCCAATTTATAGAACATTTAATAGGCATTTTGTTACTTAATTAAGACTACAGATACAGCAAAGAATTACTCGAGTAAAAGTATCACATGAAACAATTGAGTAAAAGTGTCAAATGTAGAGAAAATTTCAAATGTAGAGATTTTGATTTGAAGATGTTTTCTCACTTTTGTTCGTCAACCAACTAAATCTATTTTGCAAAACTTTTAAAACTACCCCCCTCTGCTATTTCAAACTTTAACAAATACGATTATAAGAAAAATACTACTTTTTAGTACTCTTAAAAAATAAAGTGCACTGACAGCAAGCTGCAAGCAGAACAGACCACATCCCCCTGAAGTAATTTGATTTGATTAAAGGTGCTACAACAATTTACTTTTATTCATGAAGGTCACCTCTGGTCTAGATTCATGTTTTACAACCTTCATAAAGTTAATATATATCTATATATAGCTATATCTTTTTATTTTTTTTTAAATGTGCAAACATGTAAGAAGTGAAGTCAAGCATTTTGAGAGTTTAGAAACTCAGTGAGAGAATGCTTTGTAAAAATACATGAAAAGGCATCTACTAATGTACTATCCAAAGTATGCAAAAAATATATTTCAGAGAAAACAACCAGACCTATCCCTTCAATTGCTTATTACTATGCCATACATACATTAAACAGTGATATTAGATCAGGGCAGTCCAGACTTTTTTCATCAAGGGCCACAGACAAAGACTGATCGACACAGACTGGTTGCTGAAAATTATGTGCATTTATAAGGTTAGATTGAGCCACCAGACCTTTAATCATGCTGAAATTTTCACATTCATATTTGATATTGGCTTCATCAAGACTTTTTTATTGCAGTAAAGAGTACTGCTTAAGGTAATTTGGGCCAATTCACCTGAAACTTGAGGGCCAAGAGAAACTGGTCTGAGGAGCACATAGTTCGGGCATGACTGTGTTAGAGAAAAAAAGCTGAACTCTCATGATTTAAGTTTACTTACTTTTGTTTACATTTTGCCCCTAATTATATCTGTAATGATATTTTAGTTGAGTTTAAGTTCACACTGAGCTCTAGTGTTGCTCCATTGTTTTAATTTAATTATGTGAAAATGTGTGGTGAGATGAAACTTTGTCCATTGTCTCCTCTCCTGTAGTTTGGGCTGGACAATAAACAATGCCATATATTGATCTTATTTTCTGTTACTATGAAACAGATTAAATATAGAGCATCTCAAATAGTTCTTGCTGGGTCCTGTGGCTATTGAATGCAGCACAAACTTCACAATCAACACAACACAGAAGTCCAGCAGTCACACATACCCTTTTTAAAATCATTATCGTAGTGTACAAAATGCTTAGGGTTTCTTTTTAACTATAGGGAAAGAGTGAGGCAAAGTTTTCAGTATTTATACTTGTACCTCTTAATGTAAACCCTGTTTGCAAATGTACACTACTTTAACATTTGACAGTGTACATGCAGGTAATATAACAGAGACGGTTCTACCTAAGCTCCTCCATTAGGTATTATGTAGTCACAATACTCTCAAACATAACCTTATCATTCACACAGTTTAAAGCTTATACATGAGA